AGCACAGGTGCTTTGTGGGTAGTTTCCTTTTTGTCATGCAGAATAGCTTGAAAAAGGACGCTTTATTCAAGGTCAAGATTTAATAAAATTAGCATCAGTGAGGGCATTCTTTAGTTAAATTGGCTTTTGTGTATGTGTGTTTGAGAGAGGGTGGTTTTGTTTACTGGTATGGTAACTGCTAATACAGTTTAATGACGCTGCCTTCGTGTGTGTGCTGAGACACCAGCAGTCACACCTACATCTGCTTTTGTACCATGGCTCTGAATGTCAACACAGTGTAAAGGGCAAATAATGTCTTAGTATCCTTATGAGAATTATTTTTACCCCTAGTAGATCCCCTGAAACAGTCTCAGATTTCCAAGTTTCCATAGACCACACTTTGAGAACCTCTCTTTATCCAGTCCTTCCCCCCTCACACACCCCCCAACCACACCACAACTCTAAGACTTGGAGTCTTTGAAATTCCTCTTTGCCATGTAATCACTCTTTTCCTGTTTTTAAACTCATGCCCTTCAGTCTATATAAATAATAATTCTTTATCCAGCTACCCTTCAAGTTACCATATTTTTTGCCTTCATTTGTTTAAAAAGTAGTTTGCTTTTACTCTTTCTCCTTGTATTCTGAATCACTTTAAATCACTTACTCTCTCCAGTGCTCTAGATTTCTTTTTTTGTATTTCCAGTGATGTGCTTAATCCAGTGTTTTAATTTATGTTTTTACTCTACTCAGCGGCATTTGTAGCAAGTGACTACTCTTTGCTTCCTGGAGGACTTCAGTGTGTTTTTCTCTTACCTTTCCAGTCTTTGTCCATCTTCGCTGACTCAGCCTCTGCTTATTTTTTAATGTTCCCAACTCCATTATTTTTGTTTACTTGTTCTCATTTACTTTGACTGCCAGTGTTGAGGATGATTCAGATTGCTGTGTTTAATCCTAATCCCTGCCCTGAGCTTCAGACCCATATTTCCCCACTTCTAAGAAATGTTGCCAAATGGTGCTTGAGTGGCCCATTCAGTTAAGCATCTGCCTTCGGCTCAGGTCATGAACTCAGGGTCCTGGGATCAAGCCTGGCATCGGGCTCTCCTCCCAGCGATGAGTCTGCTTCTCCCTCTCCCTCTGTGATCTCTCTCACTTTCACTCTCTCTCAAATAAATAAATAAAATGTTAAATAAATGTTGCCAAATGGTTATCTCACAACTGAACTTGGCACACCTAGAAACAGGCTCCCCTGTTATCTTTCCTTGCAACAGTTGAAAAAGCATTTATTGAGCATTAACTATACTAGGAAAACTGGTCAGCAGAACAGGCAAGATACCTGTAAGGCAAATAATAAACAAGTAAACAAGCAATAATGAAGTAATCATAGATTATGAAAAGTACTGGTTATGCTGATGGTAGGAGAGACCTACTTAGGTTTATCAGGGAATATCTCTGAGAAGTTAACACCTAAAATGAGTCCTTAATAATGAGAAGGATTCAGGTTTCTAAAGAGAGAAGGGGAAATGCATATAGAAGGAACAGCAAGCACTAGGGCTAAAGTAAAGCCCTTGGGATGTTCTAAAGTCACACGAGAAGCCACTGAAATGTATTAAGTAGGCTATGACAAAATCCGATTTCCAAGTCTGAAATATTCCTCTGGTAACTCTATGGTGAACATATAAGGATGGGGGGTGGGGTAAGTGGGGAGGAATGGGGGCATCTACTTGGAAACTTAACAGTATTCTAGATGAGAGATGACAGTGGTTTGAACCTCAGGGTAGACCAGAGATGGGATAGAAATGGACTGATACAAGTCATGTTGTGGGGTCTTGAACCAAGAGGATCTTGCCTCAAGATGACAAAGAAAGGATTAGCAGGTGTTTCAAGTGCAGGGCACAGTATGTTCAAAGGGTAAGAAACCTGACAGAAAATGGATATTTGAGGACCTGAAAGATGCTCAGCATGCCTGAAGTCCCAAGAGGAAGAGTGGCAAAGGATGAGGTAGGAGATTTAGGTAGAAATCATATCATACAGGACCATGTTAAGAAAACTAAACTCTGTTTATGTCTGGAATTATAATCTGGGCTCTATTTGAGAATTCTCTCATTATAACCAGTAATGGAAATCTTGAGAGTAGATGAGTTACCTAAGGAAAATATATGGAATGAAAGAACCATAGATCCTAAAGCCAAGGCATGAGGAACATTAGCATTGAAGAGGAGTTGACCAAGGGAACTGAGAAGAAACTGAAAAGGAAAATTTGCAGCAAGAGAGACCAGTAAAGCCAAGGGGCAAAGGTTTTTCAGAAGAAGTCCATGGTCAGCATTTCAGGTGATTCTCTGGAGAGTAAATAAGAAAAGACTTGAGAATTTGCCTGTATTGGTCACTGATGAACTTGGTGAGAATGAATTTGGTGTAGTCAGAGGTTGAAAACCAAATTTTGGGGGTTAAATAAATTATAAGGAGAATAATATTGTAAGGTTGAATAATTGTAAGGAGATTGAGAGAGTGCATATAAGACAAGTAGGTGGGCTTTGAGAGGGTGGTGGTTGGAGTTTTTGGTGTGTTTTTTTTTTTTAATGGTCAGCTGGATTTTTTAAATTTAGACTTTACTTTTTTAGAGCAGTTTTCGGTTGACAGCAAAACTGTGGGGGAAGCTACAGAGGTTTCTCATATACCTCCTGCTCCCACAACATGCGTAGGCTCCCCTATTAGCGTTACACCCCAGGGTGGAATATTTGTTAATTGATGAACCTGCACTGACACATCATTATCACCCAAGGTCCACAGTTTACAGTTCACTCTTGGTGTTGTACATTCTCTGGGTTTGGACAAATGTATAATATGGTTTCACAGTATTTTCACTGCCCTAAAAATCTGTGCTTTGTGTATCATCCCTCTTCCCTTTCTCCCTCCACCAATCCCCAGAAACCACTCATCTTTTTATGGTCTTCATAGTTCTGCCTTTTCTAGGATATCCTATAGTTGGAATCATACAGTATGTAGCCTTTTCCAGTTGGTTACATCATTGAGTAATATGCACTTAAGGTTCCTCCATGTCTTTTCATGACTTTTAAGCTCATTTATTTTTTAGTGCTGAATTATATTTTGTTGTCTGGATGTACCGCAGTTCATTTACCCCCCCATTCAGTTACTGAAGGACAACTTAGTTGCTTCCAAGTATTAGCAATTATGAATAAAGGAGCTGTAAACATCTGTGTGCAGGTTTTTGTGTTTACATAAGTTTCCAACTCTTTACTAAAAAGAAATTTGGGTGGATTCTTAAGGAGGATTTTTTGTTTTTTAAATATGTGAGACATGTTTAAGTACTGTTTGAAAGAGAGGGATTGAAAGGTTAAGAGAGCAGAGGTGGGATGGAATGGGCGGCTCTGCTGTTTCTTATCTCAATTGTTATCACCTGGTGTCTCAAGCTAGAAACTTCAGAATCTGCTCTCATTTCTTTGCCCCACTTGCACATACTCATCAAATCTTAATTTTTACCTAAGAAATACTATTTAGATAGAGTTTCCCCTCTCCATACTATTGTCAGTTTTATTCGGTCGATAACATCTCTGTATGGCTGTTGAAACAGTCTCATCCCCATTCTATTCCTTTAAAAAAGGAAAAAAAAAAACAGTATTAAACATATTACAGTTCAATTAGTACTTGTCAGGGTCTGGCCCTTCCCAGTATTAACCTCTTGTCGGCTTTCCCTCCTCCCATTTACCATCTCTCCCATCCTACCCCCCTGCTACCCTTAAGCTACGTTAAATTTCCCCCTGCCCCATAAACTTGTCTTGTTCTTACCAAACCTTTTTCCTTTAATAAAGGTAAGTTTTCTGTACCTGAAAGTCATGCTTCATCCTCGTCCTCACAAATTCCTGTTCAAGATCAGCCTCAAAGTCACCTGTTGTGACTTGACTCAGGCAGAGTAAATCGTTCCTTTCTGTATCCATAATACTGTCTTCATACTTCTGTTTTTTTTTTAAGATTTTATTTGTTTGACAGAGAGAGGGAACACAAAGCAGGGGAAGTGGGAGAGGGAGAAGCAGCCTTCCCGCGGAGCAGGGAGCCCGATGCAGGGTTCGATCCCATCAAGACCTGAGCCGAAGGCAGACGCTTCACGACTGAGCCACCCAAGCGCCCCCATACTTCTGTTTTAACATTCACTTCTTCTTTATTGTTTATTTGTTCATATGTCCATGTTCACCTATACTGTTGGCTCCTGCAGACCAGGGACTTTGTCATTCATGCATACGTCCTAGATGCTTGCTGTAGTATTTTATGTTCATTAAGTGTTCGTGGGATGAATGAGTGAACTACAACCATTAGTGAAACTTTACATATTCCTAGCGTGTTGGAATTGGAAACGATCATTTTAAAGATAAGTACACAGAGACCTAGGGAGGCGAAATGATTTCCCAACAGTGATACAGATAGTAACTCAGTCCTCTGGACTTCTGGCCCTATGCTGTCTGTAGGAACATCTACTAGTTGCTCTCAGTCGGTGCTGCTTGGGTAACAGTGAAATTGAGATAGGAGCTAGTATGAGCACATTCCCTGTCTATGATGCCTTTAATTTTTGGCTTATAGAATGTGACTCAAAGATTTGGTTGAAAAAATATTCTATATGGAAAGGATCCTAAAAATTCTATTTGAATTCAGTAGATAGACTTGTCTTTCATCAAATAAAGTATTTAATTTAGTATTCTTTTACTAAGGTCCACACTTTATCCCCTTAGTTCACTTAGAGGGATCCCTAGGTGCAAATTTTGTGTGCGCACGCGTGAGTGTGTGTGTGTGTTTACATGCATTTGGGGCACAGGGTGGGAGCATAGGCTCCAGATCTTTTTTCAGCGAGTTTCTTGATCCCCCCCCAAAATTAAGAACCACTGTGCCTGAATAAATTGGAGATATTTTGCTTTTGTAATAAGTGACCTTTCTCAAAGCAAAGTACGTTAAAAATTCTTTGGGCTGCTGTTTGAATTACCTGTTTAATCTTTGCTACTTGCTTCCATTTTTAGGGTTTGTGTTTAGTGAAGCAGAGGGATCTGCATTAGAGCAGTTTGAAGGTGGCCCCTGTGCTGTTATTGCACCTGTTCAGGTAACACAGACTGCTTTACCAACTCCTTAGGGGGACATGTTCAGACGTTTCATACTTGACTTTTCGTTTTCTACTGTCTATATGTAATGAGACATGATCAGTTATCTCTTAACTTTTGTTCATGTAAATTGCTATAAATATCCAAAATAAAAAATGAATGCAGAACAGAAGCAGGTTATGCAGCAATAGCCTTTGGACTGTCTTTATTTTCAAGAAAACATAATAGGTGTTCCCTGACCTTCAGAAAATGAGGAATTAATGATAATGACATCTTTCTAATACAGTGATCCTGTCAAGTCGTAATGTTTTATGCTATTGTTAGGTATATCATAGCAATTCTTTTCATTTGTTCTTTCTGTAAAAATGATTTTCCTACAAAGTTGACGATAAATAATATTTTCATGCTCTAAAACCTTATACATTTTTAAAATAAGCTGTATTTACAGTTTTAGACTGTTGGCTTTTAAAATAAAATTAGTAATAACTGACTTCAAACAGAATTTCCAAAATTTTTTAAAAAGGTCTTTGGGCAAGATAGTGTTAATCTGAATATATTTATATATATATATATGATTTTGAATCCTAACGTATTGTTCGAATTTCAAAGGCCGATTTGCTGCAGATGTTACGTTGTTAAAACCACAAATTGAATTTTCAGTTTACTGTAATACTTAAAATGTCTGAGCAGCAGTGTCACTTCACATCTGTGCTAAGAGAAGCTGGAATTTATTATGTTTTAATCAGCATGTTTTGAAAATACATATTTAATGTGATATTTATTATTCATTGGGCATAAGGAACACATTCCTGAACTGTTAGCTGCAAAGTAAATTTGTCTCAAGCCTTATACTCCACATTATTAAATTAAAAATTTATCTCTGAAGGAGGCAAAAAAATCTCCTTTCATGCCTGATTCCAAAATAGAACCTTTATAGGTCATCATTTTATTTCTTTAAAGGGTAAAATTGATTTTTTTTTTTTTTGCATTAGTAGAATTATTAAAAAAAATTAAGAAAAGTTTGAATGTTTGAACGTTGCCTGGGAGTAACTGAATATAAAGAATAAAATTTAACTGTAAATTAATATTAGAGTTGTTACACTGTTATGCTGGGGACAGGTTTTGGTTGCTTGCAGAATCTTACTATCTGATTTTGAAGATTCGTTGTCCTGTCTGTGTTTAAATTAGATTATATTAATACCGCCCCTTCTGGGTTTTACTAAAAGTATGAATGTTGTTAAATGCAAGGTATACCATAGGAGCTCCCTCTTTTATAAAATTCAGTATATTTCCACAATGATAGCTGTTTTTTGCAAGGGATAATTGTAATGTTCAAAGCCCTCTTGTATCTTTGAGGTAGTAATTTAGTTTCATAGTCACATAAATCTTTTCAATCATAGAAGAATTTTGGTGTTTTTTTTTTTTAATATTTCAATGTAAAAGTCAAAACTAAACCATTAAGCCTAATGAAGGGAAATGAGCAAGTCTAGATATTAAAACTTTTTTAAACTATAAAAATTAAAACATGGTACTATTGCCAGAAGAATAGGCATATTATGGAACCCAGTAATTAAAACAGGAGTAAACCACATTACATATAGCAATTTACCAAGAATTTATCACATACTACAAATCAGTGGTAGAATAAAATGAAATTTAATGAATGTCACTGATACGCCTGGTTGCCAATATGAGGGGAAAAATGAATTTAGATCATCTGATACCATATACCAAATATGTTCTTGATATAATATTTAATCAGAGAAAAACTAAACTGATGTATAGAGAAAGGATGAGTTCCAGGCTCAGAAAAATATTTGCAGTGAATTAATATTGCAGTAAGTGGATATTGTCTTCTTACACAAAGAACTTGTACAAATTGGTTAGAAAACACTAAAACTCCAGTGGTGAAATGATGTGTATGCAGTCATCACAGGTGGAATAATGATAGACAACCAGAGAATCAAGATGTTCAACCTCACTGGGAATTCAAAAAAGCACAAATAAAACTGTAACTATATTCTATTGGTTACTCTTTCTAATTTTTAAATATAAAATAATTGCCAGTGCATATATGGGTAGGATGGTGCTGGCATATTCATATTACCATATAGTACATTTGTACTTTGATTTGGGGAGGGAATTTACATTATAACAGGAAGCATAATGCAGATTTTTTTTGATGAAATCATTGTACTTCTATGAATCTTAAAAAAGTAATCCTTAATATGGAAAAGGTTGTGTTCAGTAAGTTTTTATAGTAGTAAAAGAAAAAATTATAAACCTAATATACTGTAATGTAATTTACACATGAAACGATGTTTGAGTACATTTTGATAGCTCAGTAGACATTTAGTGATTAAGAATTACAGTTAGGAATCCTGTGGGAAAACAAAAATGGGAAACATAGTCACATACCTGTTATGCTTCTCACTTGTAATAAAAAATAAAACAGGTATGAAAGAAAGACTGGAAGAAAGCATATCAAAATGCTAACAGCGTTCGTATTAGTGGTGAAATAATGGGTATCCCACCTCATTTTTCCCAAATTTTGGAATGTAGTTATACTCCTCAGTTTTTTGGTTGTTGCCGTACTGGGGAAAAGTCAGAAACACTTGATTATAGTATTGGTAGATTTTACTTCTATAAGAATGTTGTAGAATATTACTTAGTTTTTTGTTAAAATATTTTGAAATGATTGCTTATTAGGTGGCAGGTACTGTGCTAAGTGTATTACGTAGATTATTTCATATAATCCTCACTGCAGCCTTTTAAAGTTTATGCTATTATTATTTTTAGTTAAGTAGTGGAACCAAGATGCATACCTAGGTGTGTCTGACTAAAAGCAGTCCTCTTATCGGCACACTACTGCTTTCAAATATGTAAGTGAGAAGCATCGAAGTAACGTTTTTCTTGGATCTGCCCCGTGGAAATTCAGATACAGCAGGTGGCACATAAGGGTCTTCATTTTTAATAAACAAGTCAGGTGACGAGGGTGGAAGTGGTCCGTAAACTGCATTTTGAGAAGGAAACACTACTGAACTGCTTTCTATCAAATCATTAGTATAACACACTTGACTCACTTAAGGAAAGGTGAGAGGTCAGTTTGTTGTTTTTTTTTTTAAATCTTGTAACTTTTTTTAGTTAAACCAGAAGTTGGAACTCATAATAAAGTGATGAGACTTGTAGTGATATTCTCATATCACAAATCAGAGCTAATAGAGCAGAACCACGTTTGTATTTTGATTTCTTTTTCCCCAAGGAATCTAAGAGAAATGTAGCCTTTTTCCTGTTTCTAGGGTCTTCACTTTGTGAATGGACAATGAGTTTCTTTATGTGTTATGTTATGCGTCTGTTATTTTGAGTCAATTGAGTCAGTTCTTCTATTTGCCAGAAAATACGTATCATGAAAGAAGAATTTTACGGATCTAGAATCAAGTTTATATAGTAGTATATTCTGAATAATATGCTCAATTACTGTTGAATGTGAAGGGAAACTATCTGAAATTTTTATAGCACTACTTAGTAGATCATAAAGGGGTACAAATTAGGGTTTTTTTTTTCCATTTTAAAATAATAGAGTAAGGTATGTTTATAATGCATTCTAATAATTATTCCTTTAATTGTGTAAAGGCATTTCTTTTGAAGAAGCTCCTGTTCTCTTCAGAGAAGTCTTCTTGGAGGGATTGCCCAGGTATGGTAGTGGTCTTCTATAAACTTTTCCTTCACCTTCTAATTTATAGATGATCTGTGCAGCTTTCAGTGGCAGTAGTTTAACTGAAATTATTTATCTTAAAAAATAAACTATAAACGGGATATTTTTTCTTGAGGTTTATTTTTTTCAGTGTTTCAGAGATTTTCATCAACAGTGACTCCAAATGTTAATATGTGTATTCCCAAATTTGGTTTACCCAGGAGGTCTAAGACAGGATAATAGAACTAAGGACAAAAACCTTTGGCCTCTCACTAAAAAGTGGTGCCATTTCCCTGAACTGTTAAATGATAGCATACCATAAGGAATAGTCATTTGTGTTTGTTTTGTGTTACTTAGCTCTGAGCAAGAACTGAGTTGTCTTTGTATTCCTGCAGCTTTTAGTACAGTGCCTTAAACAGTGCAGATAACACTGCAGATATCTCTGGATTAAACTGCAAACGAGCTGTTCTAGCTTCTGCAATATGAACAGGTCAGAGAGCTGTGTGGTGCTACCGGATAATAACAAACATTTGCATTCCACTTGACAGTTTACAAAGTCTTTCCTTCAGTAAGTGAACAATTTCCTGGGAACATCACAATAACTTCTGGAAGAATGGTATAATCCTAGTTTGATATATAAAGGCAAAACAGTTTCCATTCCAAACCATACCCTTAGAATCTTCTAATGATTGTGAACTTAAGAGCTGAAGTGTCACTCATGTATTTTTTATTAATTAATAGCTGAAATGCAAAATAAATTGTAGAGAAGAAACCAAGAGATACTATTATTAACATCAGTGTTTTATTTATAAAATTTGTGATATTTGTTATACAGGAATATATTCACATTGATAAAATATATAGCATTGTCATAAATGTAAATGTCGTGGTGGTTATAAAATGACCTAATTCTTGCCTTTAAAGAACTGCTGATCTATTAAGAGAAGTAGAATTCTCCCCCTAGCACACAATTTTACATAGGATGTGTACACATCATATCCCCTTTGAAAGTTTCAGGGGCAGTACTACCTTTGGAGAGCTATACTGCTTGAAAAGGGGAGGTGGCTAAGGCTCAGGAAGAAGTTGTCTGAGCATTTTCTGATTGCCCTTTTCTATAAAAGTCTAATGTCCAAATCACTGCAGTATAGTATCGGGAGCTTCTGTATTATGCAGCATAACCATGATGGCGTCTGCTAATGTAAAGAATTGTGGTATTGTATGTGCTGACTATGTATTATCTCATTATCCTTACCCCTTTGGGACAAGGAGACCAAAGACATTAGACTAACTCAGAAATGAGGAAAAAATAGAAGTCTCAGCAGGCCCTCACACTGTGCTTGGTTCTGCAGTCAAGGAGACCTCATGGCTCCAGGGCTCCCATTGCAGCATAAGGAAGGGGAGCGATCAGTACCCGGTTATTCCAAGTAACGTATTCTTTCTCCTAATGTTTAATTCTTCATTTTTCAGGATTCTTTTTCTAATTAATGGCAATATTTAATAGTGATGACATATTAATCCTCAAGCACATTGTTTTTTTTTTTTTAAACAGATTGTTTATTGGGGGGGAGGAATCCTCCACTTAAAATGCTTGAATTTCATTATTAAGTTAAAAGTCTTAATATTGTTATCCATGACAGGATTTTTTCTTTTCAGAGAAAACCATTATAACTGATACTTTGGTTATTTTTAGAGGAAGAGCGGAAGGAACTCCTTTGTCATACCTTATGTGATATTTTAGAAAGTGCTTGTTGTGACAACTCTGGATCATACTGCTTGGTTTCCTGGTTAAGAGGAAAGACAGCTGAGGAAACGGCTAGTATTTCTGGGAGTCGTGCAGAGTCTAGTTGCCAAGTGGAACATTCTTGTAAGATACATTTTTATTTCCTGAAGTAAATTTCTTGTACCTTTGTTTTAATAAAACTATTGAAAATTTTAAAGAAAAAATATTTTAAAATTTTCATAACACATCTCTTTTTTTAGCCTGAGCTTAATTCATGAGCCTTATTATTTTTCATTTCCCTGTCAGTTATTTTAGTTGTTGGAGGATATTGCACTTACCGTGTCATTTTTAGAAAAAAAAATTGCATCTTTTAAACTTTTCTAAAAGTTAATTTCTGCTTGATGACAATCTCTTCGGAGCTTTGGAACTCTCATTTAAAAAGTTTAAAGAACATAATCCTACTTACTTTAGTTTTAGATGCTTTAATGTTGGTTTTCTTAGTATTGGAAGAAAAGGATTTTGGGGGACATTAGAAAATTTCTTAAATATCTTTAGTTTCTTAGAGCAGAGATGGGTACATTATTCTTCATTACATATTGTTTCTTTTCCTCCTGAACTTTTTGGACATTATGTAATACAGTCTACATATATGGATCATTTTAAGGTAGTTTTAAAAAAAGGATTTTAATTATTCCTTCATTTAAGTTTTTTTTTTATTATTATTATTTAAAATTTCTCTATTAGCTATTCTTATTCATAAAAAATATGCTGTGGAATTTAGCCTTTGAAAATTCTTATGCAATCGACCTCAAAACTGCCAGAATACACTAGTAAAATGGAGACTTCTGGTGGTACTGAAGGTAGATAAAGAATTGCTATTCCTGTTTTACTTTTCAGGAATTCTCTTGCTAGTGTGTGACTTTTGATAATTGGTAGTTCCACGTGCTTATATTGAAGAAGTGACTTATCCTACCTATGATGCATTCCATTAACTATCATCTCTGCAGAAATTATTTTTAAAGAAATTGGACACCTGATTTATAGAGAGTAAATTTTGATTACTCATGACATAATCTCGATTTCCATGTAGGATAATCCCTGAGGCACTATTGTCTCCACAGGCTGAAATGACTGATATGTCAGCGTCTTCTTTCTCCTACAGTTATAGGGGCAAATTCTACTAGGAGTACATTTGCAAGGAATAATTTTTAAAATTTAAACAGTTGAACGATGTTTCTGTTTGAGGCCTCTTTAAACATAGCCTTTCAAAAAGAATTTAACATACTTTGAGAGTTGATGATGACAGTTGAAGAAAACAAGTGGAAAATATTCACAAGGATGATAGTCAAAAATCTTAAGGTTGGCTTTAAAATATTTTCCAGGTTTTACTGGGTTTCATGAAAGCGTGTTTAATAGTTGCATTTAGGACATTAAAATTCTGATAGAGGAACAGTTGAACTAATTAAAAGTTGTTTTAAAGAATATCTGCATAAAGCCAATCTATATATTAATATGCAAGAAAATAGTAAGATCTTTTAATATTTTTTGTTAGTATTTTTGTAGTACACTGTACTTACCAATGGGGTATACTACTGTACATTTTTGTAGGTAGAGGTTAAATCGCTCTAGGTTAAATAGCCTCATAATGTATTAACTTTGGTACTTGAGTAACTAATTTAGGTGGGCATATTAGATTTAATTTCTCTTCAAAAAACATAGTAGTTTTCCAATTTGCTTTGCCCCATTTTAAAAATGGATATGAAATAAAACCATATTAAATCTGTTTTTAGGACTGTAAAAATTTGAAAAGTTTTGTTAACTGAAAATTTGAGAATTTACCTTAGATGTTGACAAATGTAAAGAACTTACATTAAAGTTTTTATTCCGTATAACAATCTTTTACCTGTTCTTTCCTTTGTTCCCAGCTATGTTCTTTTTCTTGTGTTTTATATTTTTTCACCATCCTGCCTGCTAAGCTTTTTATTTTGCTTGCCTCTTTTTTCTAAATTACTATCTTTATGTCTACTTTCATAGTGTATACCCAGTAGAATTATTTAGGTAATCAAGCGCTGCACAGCAAATTAGTACAATTTGGAAAAGGTTAGGTCGAATTTTTATTTTATACTGAAATTTTACATGTGAGTTGTTTTCCCCTTTGTCAGTAGTACATTGTGCACAAACATTAATTTCATTGGCTTGTGTGGTGTGTGTAGTTTTTGGCTTTTGGTAACGCACACTTGTTTGCAGTAGTGAATGCTCAGGTTCAATTTCAGTTTGTTTCCCACACATGTCAAAAGCTTATTGAAATTAACCCATTTGGACTGGTAAAGATTTTTAAAAGTAGTTTAAAACATTTGAAAATTAAAATGATTTTAAAACGATAGCCTAAAGAAACATTTTTAATTGTAATTCAAAAAAATCCAAATTTTGAATTCATAATGAATTTATTTCATTCTCTAGTAAGAATATTTAAAGTACTAAGATTTGCCTTATAAAATATATATGAAATTGTTCATTGTGATAAATTTAGAGTATCTTGATTCATGTATGAGATCTTTAAAGATGTTATCTTTGTAAAGGGAGCCAAGACTCTCTGGATTCAAATCTCGGCTCTGCTGTTTGTTGCGTTGTGCTCCAGGGAGGCTTCTTCTCTGCCTTAGTTCCTCTTCTGTAAAATGGGGATGATAGGGTTGTTAGAGGATTAAATGAGATAAGACCTGCAGAGCATTTAGAAAGGGCTCTGGCACTTGGTATAAAGTGCTACATAAACATTACCTTGGATTTAAATGATTTATTTCCTGTTTTTTTTTAATTTATAATTGTACTGTATTAATGATCATAATCTAAATAAGTTACTGAAAACTTCTCTAACAGTTGTACAAACAAATGCGGAAACAAACTTAAAGCTGTCGTTGAACCTGTGTAGTTTCAAAGTGCTATGCCTTTTTATACACATTAGTTTAATAATTAAACATTAACCTAAAGATTTTATGTTATAAAGAAGGAAGATTAGCTATGGTGATTTTATTTGGATCTGTGAATTGAAAGATTATTTAAAAGTGCAGGACACATTTCAGTGATGTGTGAAGCACTCTCAATAATTTCTCATATTTTATATACTAGCCTAACTGAATTGAAAATAAATGTTTATTTAATTACCCTCTACATTCTCAGTAGTATGTCCATTTTAGTTATAATCATGGTAACTAAGATCCTGAAATATAAATTTGTGTTATAGTAAAGTTGAAAATAAACTGAGAATTTTAAGGGAATAAGGAAATAGGGAAAATTTTGATTGCTTGAAAGTATTTACAGCCTGCTGTGTGTATCTTGTGTCATTTATTTGCCATGTGTAGTGCTGAAAAGTGTCTTTTATGTATAGCTGCCTTGGCTGTCGAAGAGCTTGGCTTTGAGCGATTTCATGCATTAATTCAGTAAGTAACATTGGAACATTTAAAATACTTACCTTGTGGACACATTGCCATTTTAAGTCTGTTCATACTGTGGAAAGGTACTTAGATTTATATACTTGAGGATTAATTTGTTTTCAGTTCTTTTTAATAATAATTTATAAATGTTTACTTAAATTATTCTGATTCCTAAATTAGCTAACTACCAGAATACTTTTTTATATTAAAAGCTTCTTCATCATTACAACGAAAAAAATCATTCTAGCTTAATGTTTCTCTGACCTGAATGAATACAAAGATTTCTAATAGTATAAATATTTGAATTACTATTTCATTTGCCAAAATATGCCTTCTATGATTCTCGTCAAAAGTGCCATATTTTCATTAGAGCGTTAAACTTTTTATTGTAAAAGGTAAGGATAGCTACATTGATAGAATTACAGGTGGCACTTGAAATACGACATTAATTTCTTTTAAAAGAAGCCACAAATGTACACCTTATCTTTGGTATTCAGATATTTATTACATAATTTTCAGGCTTTACAGAGTCAAGTTTTCTTTTTTCTTGAACACTTCTTAGAGCTATTTCATTCTTTAAAAATGTATAATTATTGTAGAATTTATTGATGCCAGACAGTTCACCTAAGTGATGAAGAGTTTTCCTGCCAAGTAGGCATTCTATTTTAATGGTATATATTTAGCGACATTTGTCAGCAATAGCTTTTGCTTTTAGTGGCTAAATTTGTATTTGAAAATTTGAGACCCAGAAATCTCATTTGTACATATATAGTTTATAAGACGATTTAAAAATATTCCCATTTGTCAGTGTAGTCATTCTTGTCATAATACTAACACTTAATTCTTTTTTCCCCCTAGAAAAAGATCATTCAGAAGTTTATCAGAATTAAAAGATGCTGTCTTGGACCAGTATTCAATGTGGGGAAACAGATTTGGAGTATTGCTTTTTCTGTATTCTGTGTTACTGACAAAGGTTTGTTTCTTCTGGCTTTTATTAGAGTTCAGTACTGTTTTTCATGCTGTGATGAGTAATTTTATTTTTCATACTGTTTCTAAATCTCAGATTAAAAATCTCTTAGGCTGATAATAAGGAATCATCAAGTTCTCTTTCCTCACCACTCACTTAGTACCTAACCACTTTCAAACTTAGTTTTACCCCTGATCTTCTGTGTTATAGAGGTTATCAGTAATGTTCTAATTATGAAATGCACTCAGTTCTTCTGAATTTTATTTTCTTTCATCTTAACAGTATCTTGCATTTGACACCTTAATGCCTTCTGGAAGCTCTTTCTGATGCTCAGTCCCTCTCTTAACTTACTGATAAATCACTGTGCTAGTTCCCTTTTTTTAATGTCTAATGATCCCACTTCCTCTCCCCCCCTTTTTTTTGATAGCTTCATTTTCTTCTTTCCCTGTTAACTCCTCTTTTCTCTCCCCGTCTAAGTTTTTATATTGCAGAAGTTTTCAGTCCCTGTCTACTGTGTGCTTTTTCTTTTATGGGCATTTTATTCTCTCAACTTACTTTTATGTGGTTAATTCCAGTGTGTACACTTCCTGTCCTACCTTTTTTTCCCCCAACTGCTAATCTCCTATCTCTAACAGCCTGTTAGTCTCAGTTGAGAATCCTGCTAGATTTACCATGTCTGCTATCAGACTTCTGTCATTTGACAGATGTTTATTGGGCATTGACTCTCTGCTAAAGGTTGGAATTATGAGAGAAACAATTTTTTTAAATGATTCCTCTTCAGTACTATAAAAAATAAATTGACACATTAATAATTCCATGATGACACTGTTTTTAGATGTTTATTTGTTGCATGCACAAAGCATGGGGGGAAAATAGAAGAAGGTATGTCTGAGTCTTAGGTTTGGTTTTCTTTTCTTTCTTTTTTTTTTTGGTGGAATCAAGGACAGACTATATAGTAGGGACGGTGTGGTGGGTATAGCGTCTTGATGGATGAGGAAAAGTTTTCTAAATGGAAAAGCTGTGGGAAGATTTTCTGAGCCATGGAAACAGCAAGTATAAAGGCATAATGAATTTGGGGGTGTAACACCGGAAGAACTATAAGGAGTTCAGTATTATTACTGCAGCATAATATACCAGGAAGGCAATAATGGGAGATGAGACAGTGCACTTACGTAAAAAAGGCTCAGAATGTGAAGGGCCTTGTAGTCTGAGCAAAAAATAACTGGCAGTCTCACCTGGCCGAAATTAGAACGGAGCAAAAATTTTGGACACGGTAATAAGATCTTTTTGTTGATAAGGTTCCTTAAATTGAGGTTAGAGTTCTACAAGAGGGAGTTGGTGGTGGGGTTGAAGACTAGAGTCAGGAAGACAAGAAAGAGTGGTTACTGAATAGTGAACCTCAGCTAGGGCAGTGACCGTGGAAATGGAGAAGAAAGCATATTTAGAAGCATGTTCTAAATTTGGAAATTTAAAAACATTTTCGGAGCACGTTTAAGAGAAAGAAGCAAAAGTACTTTGTAGTTGGTTAGATGTGAAGAGCAATGAGGGTGGGATCTGAGATGACTGATCTCTTAGGAGTTTGGCTTTGACTGTTCATTATTCCCCCCATTTTTTATTCTCAAAACTTTTGATACCTCCTCTTCCCTTTACAGCCAATAAACCATCATGTCTAGTTGTTCTTACTTGAGCTGGTCTTTGAGATGATGTCCCCTCCCTCACCAGTGATTGTCACTTGTTCTTATTATTGCTTTTGGCTTTATCATGGCCTGCTTTGTATTGTTTACAAGGCAGCAAGTGCAAAATCTCATACTTGTTTGTATTGTCCTACAATATTTAATCCTTAGAAATGCCCTTAATCTGATAGAACCAGTGGTTAAAGTTGGGTGAATAGCACGGTGACAGGCAGTTATTCTTTGTTCTTTCAGGGCTGATGAAATGAAAATGACCAGGTCTTGTACTTACTTAGACTTCTGGGGATTTGGATGCCCTTTTGAGGAATTAAAAAAATATCAGAAAATTGGTTTTTAAGAAAATAAGTTCCTGCCCTCCTAGTTTTACACTTTATTTTGTCAGTACATGTTTAAATTACTGATATTTCTGAGAATGCACAATCAACTCTGTTTTCTTCTGTACCACTTAGACATTTTGTGTATTTAAATAGACATCGCTATCAACACTCGTGTATGTCTTTAATACCAATAAGTTTTTTAAAAGGCCTAATACTTCAGATGCCTTAGCAGACATATTAAGTCTGAATTTACTTTAGCCTGAAATTAAATGAATATTAACTCTTAGGATTTAATAATTTTCTCCTCCCGAAACTTAAACATCTCTCAGTACCCCTTGCACCAACATGCCGTGAGATCTATTACCCATGAGACAGTCAGTGCTCTTTGTATAGAGCCGAGGAAAGAAAAGATATTCTTAGAGGAGCTCCTTCTTAACCATTATCATCTCATGTGTTCTCCCACATCAAATCTGGATAATTTTTTGGGAGAAAAGTTACTTAAATAAATGTGTTTTATTCATTTATAGTAAAAAATGGTCAGTTTGTAAACTACTGTAATTTTCATTTTTAGTTTTTAAAATAAGTCAATGAATTTTTTGGTTCCTTTAGGGCATTGAAAACATAAAAAATGAAATTGAAGATTCAAATGAACCTTTGATAGATCCTGTATATGGACATGGCAGGTAATTAACTGAAATCTGTTCTCTCCCTACATGGACTTAAGTTTTTAGAAACTTGACTTAAAGATAATCTGAGTCAGATACTTCCGTCAGTGTTGACAGCATAAAGTATGTGGATTTGAGTAGTCTGTGCTTTATGCATTGCTGGCTTTATGTACGAAATGATAATTTCCACTTCACATTTATGTATGCATTGCACTTACCGTGGCACATATTTTCTTTAAAGATGACAGCGGGTGGTATTTTAACAAATTCTGCTTTATGTTCCACTTAATTTTTTAATGAATTTTTAAGTGTATCCTTACCTATTTGTAAATGCTTTCCTGCTTGAGGGAAATATTTTTTCCTTATTTTTCTCTGAAACCGTTCCCCCAAGCTCTTTACAGTTCTATTAAAATCAGTGAAACAGTGATAGTTAACCCACTCTATTGCATAAGTCCTTCTCTTTAGATCTTTGTGCCTCCGATGTTAAAATTCAATTGACCATCAAACAAAAAATAATAATTACATATATATTTATAGATGATTATAAATATTAAGTTATTAGTCTAAGTAATCTTTTTTCCATCCATTTAAACGTGGTATCTTTTTTTTAAACGTGATATCTTAAAGTTGTTAAATTTAGATGAATATATAGAACAGTAGATACCGTTGTGATGATACACTCAGTGATACATTTCGAAAGCTGTTGTTCAGTTGAGTGTATAAAATAAAAATGGAAGGTATTCCCTAACTTTGTTTCTTAACCAACATAATGTAGAAGTCGTTACTTTATGCTTTACCACAGGGATCATTTGATGTGAAAACTAGTTTATTCATGCTTTAATTACTTTTAAATTTTTATTAATAGCCAAAGTTTAATTAACCTCCTACTGACGGGACATGCTGTTTCTAATGTGTGGGATGGTGATAGAGAATGCTCAGGAATGAGTAAGTATATTTTTTGCTGTGTTTACTCTTTGATGAGGACTATTTCCTTAGAGTATGGTTGACTGTTACTCATCTACTTAATGGCTCTGTGTTACTTAGAGGTTAACATAAGTGCTTTAATATAGAAGAATCCTTCCCTGTCTTCAAGGCACTGTCACTTAAAGAGTGTGGAATGGAGTTTGGAGGCAGACAAACTTGGATTCAAATTCCAAGTGTAAGACTTTAGTCAAGTTACTCCTCCCACCTTTAGTTTTCTCTAGTATGAAATACTAGATGGGATTGCAGAACTAACTTCATTAGAAGGTGTAGATCTCTTTTTATCTATAAATCTAGTACATATTTATCCAGTGGTATCTGTAAATCTCAGACATTATTGCATTTTCTTTTTTTTTTTTTAAAGATTTTATTTATTTATTTGAGAGAGAGCACATGAGAGGGGTTAGGGTCAGAGGGAGAAGCAGACTCCCCGCCGAGCAGGGAGCCCGATGTGGGACTCGATCCAGGGACTCCAGGATCATGACCTGAGCCGAAGGCAGTCGCCTAACCAACTGAGCCACCCAGGCGCCCCTATTGCATTTTCTTAATATTGAGAATTACAAGTAACGCACTTTGAAATATTTGGTGAGTCTAGTGGTTTTTTCCTATATTACATTTAGTGTGTATAATTTCCTTTAAAATGCTGGGCAGATTTAATGTTATCTGAGAATTTTAAACTACCACCCCCTCCACCACACCTCCATTTCTGGTCTCAGTGATTTCTTTGCTGTAGTTTCGTGCGTTCCCAGGGACCTTGAAGTGAAACACATTATTGGCCAGTTCATCCACTTAAGAGCCGATAGATAGTTCCGAATAAAATTCCCTTCAGCTTATTACCGGGTCAGTCTAAATTCGGTTATTTACTCATTCAACTTATTTTTTTTTTTTTAAAGATTTTATTTATTTATTTGACAGAGAGAGAGACAGCGAGAGAGGGAACACAAGCAGGGGGAGCAGGAGAGGGAGAAGCAGGCTTCCCGCTGAGCAGGGAGCCCGATGCGGGGCTCGATCCCAGGACCCTGGGATCATGACCTGAGCTGAAGGCAGACGCTTAACGACTGAGCCAGCCAGGCACCCCTCATTCAACTTATATTAACTACTATGTATCTCTTTTTGGAGTATGTAAAGCATAGGATGGGAAGCTTCTGTAGTTTCTACAGTTCACAAAGAAATTTATTTATAATATTTATATTTTATAATATTATAAAATTTATAATAATGAGATGAGACTGTCACCAGATAGCAGAAGCAAATATTATGATTGAGTTGCTGCTTTTTACTCCCATTTAAATGAGGGAATCTTGATCTTAAATTTGAATTTTTCTCAAATTTTAAAAATAGGTATAGTGAAGAAACAGGAAAGGATATAATATTAAGAGAGGGAAAGGTCAGTAAAAATTATAGAATTTCAGGTTTAAAAGCACCATAGCACAATCCAGCCCTTCATTTATTTAAGAAATGTAATAACTACCTTCCCACCATACATGAGATAAAATAGGCAAATTATTCACTCGTGTTTAGGTTAGAATGAGAACCTAGTTTTGCTGATTTTTGGCAAAGGACAAAAAACTCATGGACAAAAAAACTACACAAATTACCTTGCTCTGTTTTTTGTAAGTGAGCCCATTCTATTCTTGAACCTCCCTCTGATTCAAAGCTGTGAAGGCATTTAATCCTGCCAGTTAAAGGTATGTCATTCTTTCTTCAGTAATATGCCCTCACCCACATGGCTTCTACACACCCTCTCTTTTTCCTTCCCCCTACGGTTTCTGGGGCCTGAAGTATCTTAGATCATCTCAGATGATCAGGGAAGGAATATCTGGTTCCTGTTGAACTTGGGTTGAGGTATCTCATCCCACCTGTCCCTGTGTTGGCTACTCCTCATAATTCTACAGCTCATAAGTCTTTCCACCTGGACTTTGGTGCATTGCTCTGGCTCTTGATACTAGTTATCATGGTCCTCCTTTCTCTTCATTCTGCAAATGCTCCTAAGACTCTCCTACTTTCAGACCCAGGCTGTTCTGTCTCCCTAGGCTTTTCCTCACCTATCCTCCCATAGGCTTTTTTTCTTGCTGTGAATTTGTTACTTTCCCCATAGAGTATTAGTTACTTATCCAAGTTTTGGTTCTTGATGTGTACAAATTGATTCTTTTCTATTGCTTGAAGTATTAGCTTTGAAAGCTATTGTCTCGCTGTGAATTTTTTTTCAGTATAGTTTAACTATCAAAACTAAGCAATGACTTTAAAGTACTTATCTTGGAAAAGAAAATAGGCAGGGCATTATTTCTTTCATTTTCCCTTAATTGTTAGGAATGTTGACTTGAAGTTGAATTTGTTTTCAGTCACCAAACTTAAAAATCTGTATGTTATTCGGCATTTATTGGATGTTTTTCTGATCTGACAACATGGGAGGAGGTTGTGATATATGTAATATACAAAGAAAAAGTATAATTAAAGAGTTACTAGTTGTAAAATCCTTAGGCAAGCCACTTTACTTCTCCTAGCTTCAATTTACTTAGTTATAAAATACGGAGGTTTAATGCCTTCCTCAAAGGGATGTTATGAAGATTAAGATCATATTTCTAAAATGCCTCAACTGGCCCATAGGGAGAACTTAACTTTCCCTCAAAAGCACACATACCTAGTCTGGGGAATTAAGAACGTGCACACAAATAACTATAATGCAATGTGAAATGAAGCATGTTGAAACAAAGTATTACAGAGGAAGGAGAAAACTTCTACTGTGATTATGTTGGGGTAAACAGAAATACTTTAAGTAGGAGTTAACATTTTAATGGGGCGAGATGGAATGAGCGAGAGGGCATTTTGTGAAAAATTGCAGGTTGTGTTTAGGGGCTGGAGACAGATCAGACTAGCACCCTGGTTCTTAATCCTGACTACACCTGACCACTGGGGAGCTTAAAAATATGTCCATGCTATGGCCTCAACCGAGAGTAAATAAATGTTAGGATCCCTAAGTGGTAGAGCCTGGGCATAATAATTTTAAAATTACCCCAGGATGATTCTGATGTGCAGGCAGGTTTGAGGACCAGCAGATGAAAGCACTGGATCTGTGAAGGACACTAGTAAGAGGAAGGATCATAAATGTGGGGCTGAGTAAGAACTCAGAGGATCTTGAATACTAAGAAGTTTACATTTTAGATGGCAAGCATCAGGAAGACAGTCACTGAAGGTATTTGGAATAGAAGAAAAAAGAGCAACCAGTATTTATGTACTTTGTGCTAACCAGTATGTTTTTAGATATGTATCTTAACTTTGATAGATAAAAGGCGAGCCTCAGATGATTGAGTAATTTGCCCGGCATCAAACAGCAGAGGCATAAACTGCTTTGGACCACATCCAAAGCCTGTGCTCATTCCACCATAGCACGTTCTGCCTCTGTTGGAGAGACTACAGGAAGGTAGAAGCTATAGAATTCAACTGATGAGATGCATGAGAGTAAAGTACAAATAACTAGTAGGTTTTCCGATAAAGCTTATTGAATAAATGAACACATGAAGAAACATGGCAAGCAGACTTGAAGTGTCTGTGGATCTTTTGGTGGCGGAAAAAACAGTCTTTGTCCTCAAGTATTTCATTTCCTTTGAAGAGCGGGTACAGCTACTGATGATGGTCAGGAGTACTCATTGTACAGCAGTGGTGAACATTTATTTAACAGTGCTAAGCACTGCTCTTAGTACCTAATTACTGTATTTTCCCCCCATTTACTCACTTCATTCTTAGAACTACTTTGTGAAGATCATAGAGGAAACTAAGGCACAGAGTGTTTAAGTATCTTGCTTCATTTCACACAGCTTAATAAATAGAGCTGAGATTTGAACAACCGTAGTCTGAGTCCATGTAACAAGCATACTTAATCATTACGATAGGCTGCCTCTTATACTACGTTTCACAGAATCGAGCGCAGTAATAAATATGTAAGATGATGTGGGAAAAGTTTATCTTACTAAATTTCATACCGTGAGAGGTAGTTAGTTGCCTCATTTATGGAGAGATACTGATTTTGAGAATTTAATCCAAAGATTCTTGTCCATGAAACAGAGTCAGTGAATGAGCCATGCTGTATTTCTCATTCAAGGAGAATGAGGACTAAGAATAGGCTATGAATTTAGCAGTTCACAAGGTCTTCGCGTTACAAGAACAACTGAGGTAGAAACCAGATCATAGGGAGTAAATATTTCAGCCATGTAAGCAAGGAAATTTTACTGGTGAAAGAGGGAAAGTGGAATTGATTGCCCAGGTGAAGAGATGGTGAATGTAGTTTTTGTTTTAAGGTATAGAAATCACTTAAATTGTTTGTTGGCCCGATGTTTATAGCAGCAATGTCCACAATAGCCAAACTGTGGAAAGAGCCAAGATGTCCATCGACAGATGAATGGATAAAGAAGATGTGGTATATATATATACAATGGAATATTATGCAGCCATCAAAAGGAATGAGATCTTGCCATTTGCAACGATGTGGATGGAACTGGAGTGTTACGCTGAGCGAAATAAGTCAATCAGAGAAAGACATCATATGACCTCACTGATATGAGGAATTCTTAATCTCAGGAAACAAACTGGGGGTTGCTTGAGTGGTGGGGAGTGGGAGGGATGGGGTGGCTGGGTGATCGACATTGGGGAGGGTATGTGCAATGGTGAGCACTGTGAATTGTGCAAGACTGTTGAATCACAGATCTGTACCTCTGAAACAAATAATATGTTTAAAAAAAAAAAAGCAGGAGGGGAAGAATGAGGGGGGAAATCGGAGGTGGACACAAACCATGAGAGACGATGGACTCTGAAAAACAAACTGAGGGTTCTGGGGGGGCGGGTGGGAGGATGGGTTAGCCTGGTGGTGGGTATTAAAGAGGGCATGTTCTGCATGGAGCACTGGGTGTTATACGCAAATAATGAATCATGGAACACTACATCAAAAACTAAGGATGTAATGTATGGTG